GTACTGAAGAAATGCGAAACATTTTGTGATCTTGACTCTTGATATCATCAGCAGCTGGTTGTATTATTAACATGCATGATGCTTACTTGCGCATTATTTGAGTCCATGCACAGGGTCCGTAGTGAGACAACATAACGGCTTTCGGCGGTCCTGTAGTGCCACTGGAGAAGAGCATTAACGAAAGGTCAGTCTTTGTCCAAAATTTAATGGGTGGAATAGGAACTAATTGAACTTTCGCGGCTGTTGCTCCAAGCTGCGTTACCTGCTCAGGTAACGAGGTCAGATTATCTTCATCTTCATCCATGAGGAAAATCATCTACAAACATCATTCAAAATTCGTTCCCGATTTGCCAAACTACCTTTATCATGGAACCCTGATAAATGGCACTCTCGTGTATTTCTTTCAATAACGCTTTCTGAGTTATCACAAACTTTGCATCGCACATGCGAAAGCATTTCTGGAATTCAGCTAAAAATGTAATCATTTTATGAATGCCAAGAAGCTAATGAACAATTAAAAAATCAAATCCAAAGAAGACATACTAAGATGAATTTAAGAAGAAACATTGCCTAGTGTTATGCTTACCGTATCGGTTACATTAATGCACTGATAACCAAAGATTATTTGATTGTTTACATGATTATCTTGGTGATGCACAATTTTGCGATGTTTTTTCAGACATGGTGTTGACTTCCCCGTCCCACTGCGCTCACCTTGATACCCTGCATATTTGAAAAGTTATTTTTTTGACATAATACTGAGGTGGTTTAAATGGTTTCTCTTTTACGTAGTTTGCAGTCGCCAGCACGGTTTATGTCTGGCCTTGATTTTCAAGTGGGCTATGGCAATTGATGCCGTATAAATCAAACGGCTGTCCGTTAAATCTCGTAGTTTCTGGCTTGACCGTACAAAAATAGACTGCTACCAACACTGTTCGCAAGTCATTGACCCGTTACTCGTTTCCTTCTAGTTGTACCGATGAGCAGTTGGTTTAATTCTTCGCTCACGGGAATCAGCATTCAGCAAAACACTTTAAACCACGATAGGGTTTGAATCTGACACCTTAAAATTGCAAACAAGTTACTCACTCCAAATGGAGAATGTCTAATTAAGAGTTTATTACAGTCTAATAGTTATTCTAACGTAGTCATGTTTAACGAGGTTGTATCTTGTTTAATCTTTAGGCATCACATGGAAGAGTGTAAAGTTAAATTCACAACTTTCAAACAATTTTTGGTTGTTTAATGAAAATAATACTTTGATTTTAAGTATGTGAACTACGTTCTTGTGGTGTCATACGAGGAGTACTAACTCCTGAATCAGTTCGTGCTTTGTGCGGGGTGGCTCTAGCCGACTAACTGTTAGATGCATCTGATACTCCAGGTGCTTAAATACCATTAAACCGTGGCTTATTAAAATGCTTTCCCAATGCAACTGGGAACAGGAGAGCTGTGCGATGCCTCATGACATCTGGTCTTGTAGGAGTCATCCGTTATTGCCATTCTATTGCAGTTGAAGTTCATATGTGCATCATTTTTTTGAAAAAGAACGGACAGCGGATATTTAAGGAAATATAATATTTTTTACTTTTTGTGTAATCCGGATTGATACCACTAATCACTCCGCCACACATCCACGTTCCGATCAGTGCAGCGGCAACCTGTGGGCAGTTGTACATGCAGTAAGCCACAACATCACCTTTGCGCAGTCCTTTAGTGAAGAGCGCACTGGCGACTCCATTTGCGGCGGTGAGTATGTCCGCAGCTGTGTATTTTCTTCCAGTTTCAGAAGTGATCTGAAAAAAAAGAAAGTATGCTGTTGAGAAATCGGTAAACGAGAAAAAATGTGCACTTACGAACAAGACAGTTTGAGGATCGTGACTCCGGAGGCTTTGCAGCAGTAACTCATGGAGGGGAACGTCTTGGATCAGCGGCTGTGGAAGTTGACTTCGCAGCGGCATGGCTTTCGAACAAATCGTTCGGCCGAACTTCTACGTGCCCTCTTTCACTTTATCTTATCAAAAGTTTTATCTGCCAAAGTCAACCACAACATGTTTGCTGTGTAATCTTCAAATTTCGAAGGCACTATTATAGATATTAACTCAAAAAATACAACTTCCGAAGACTGTGTACTGTGGTGAAATACACCGAACAAAGTCAAATGGTAACTTTCTGCATTGTTAGGTCCTAGTCGATATCAGTAGAATGACGGTACGGATTTAAAAAGCTGCTTTTCATCAAGCAACTTCGATAACTTGCACTAATTTTCACACCGGATATTCAGCTATTAGGTGGGTCAAGAGCAACTGCCTACCTAAGAGGGGTTCGCACCAGGTATCACTCATTCTGCCATAACAGCACCAAAAACACCAGACTGTCCTTGTCGTTGACATGTCAACAACTTTTAGCATGAAATCATAAGTCTTTCCATATTTTATATCTGAAACTATTTATGTTTTCCCCATGCACTGATAGATACCATTTGCATTAGATTAGACTTGTTTATATTTGATAAGGTCATTTAATCATAAATCGTATCACTCATAGTTTGCTATCATTATTTGAATGCGATAGGGTAATTCATGTGTAAGCAGATAGCAAGTGGCTTTGCAATGTTTAACTGACCCTTCATTTGGCCCATTCAATTTTATTCAGTTGCCATCCTGTATGCAAAGACTACACAGAAATGTGCATTTTCCTCAGATACTTGGCTCTGGTCTTGCGTGATCCCCGTGGCATAATAATCCATAACGTGTTCAACGCATTCATTTGGCTTTCGAAAACTTGGGAATTTTTCTTCCTTTTGGTTGTTCATATTTTAAGCATTTTGTTTCGACGCAATAGATATCATAACTGAAATTTTAAGCAATTTTTCTGTCACCGTCACGGTTTCAACCTAAGATCAGCTTGTTTCATGTTTTGAAGGATAGTGGAGAGCTGAGAAGAGGTTTCGTTCCAACTTCGCAGGTGCCGCAGTCCAATCTCTCCCTTGGGCAAGGAATTCGCTTCCAGTTGCTTCAGTAAAACCAACCGAAAAATGGACTGTAAGTTGTTAACATGCTGACGACAAAAATAGCGTGGTGCTTTCATAGCAGAACGAGCGATACCCAGAAGTATGACCATGCAACATGGGTGAACCTATCCTTTAGAATTCAGTGACGAAAGCTGAACTCCGTCGTTGCCGGTCTCATGCCCGGATGAGAAAGGAGGAGGATTGGAGACCTTAGCGAAGTCTAAGTAAAAGTTAGCCATCAGCTCCTCATGGGACATCTGTTATCGAATATCATACAGACTCGGTTGTTGCGCGGCTACTAAGGACCGCGTCGGCTTTTAAGGGAATAAGAGAGACTGCAATGAGAAGTCGATGATGAGAACTTGCTCATCGCCTTCTGGCAGCCAGGGACGTAGCAGCACAACGACGGCTGACGAAGACCGACGGAACGACGACGAAGATACCAGTCAGCAAAGGAGTCGCTGCACGTTCTGAACGGAGAAAGCAGA